ATTGTCACCAAAATTTTGGTGGACACGTACGTGGCAGTAATTGCATTAGGTTTTTTGATAAGCTAGAAAAAAACATTGGAGGCTTTATTTGTATCTTATAATTCATCAGGTGTATCATGGTGAATAAAGACTTTAAGTCAGCCTCTGGTTTTAAATGCGGCAGATCTGATGGAAATCGTTGCTATTTCGTGGATGTTGTTTCCTGTTAAATTCCTATTTTGTTGAAAATGCTGAAGAAGATGATGTTGTAGACAAAATAGAACTAGGACAAAAATGATGGCAAGTTAATGTTCTTTGTTGGTGGAAAATGAACACATTGAAGTTTCATACGTTTTCTTTGATCATTGGAGATTTATTAGCTGTGTAAGTTCCCTTCGTGGCTCCAGAGTTAATATTTAGTGCAGGAAGTCGTGTTCTTGATGTATATCAGAGTTCATTTTCCTCGAGACTAATTGAGGTTATTATTTGTGGCCATGATTGGTTAAAAAGAAAAAAAAAAAAAAAGATAGTTAACTCTGAGAAGGAGCGAGAGGAGATTGATGCAATTAATATAATTGAATTAAATGAAGTTCTATTGTTTACTATTTTCCTTTTAAGTGGTATTTGATATAAAAGTGGTGGTGCCTTGTGATTATTGTTTTAACTTTCAACACTTTTCTTGTTTCATAGATTATAGGTATGCTTGGAGCAATTGATGCATATACCTCTTATTGCAGTTGAAATTGGATTAGTATATTGGTGCAAGTATAATGTGTTTTGGTTCGACATGTGTGTTGGACCTTTATCTTTTTTGGTGAGTGTTTAAATTTGATAGACATGTTTCTTTGATTTTTTATTAGCACTGAATACTTTACTTTCTTTGGAATAGTAGACTTGTTTGAATCTTTAAAAAATTTAGAGAAAAAAAAAATTCAAGTTTGAACTAAATTTGTACCTCGTTCTGGTTTGGTTTTACATACAATAGTGTTAAAATTAGAAATTTACGAAGTAAAAAGATATTAGACACTAATAGAAAGATATTATTGCTAGATATCATTTTTTTTATAAAAGAGCATTTTCAAAAAAAAAAAAAAACTGAAAAATCTCAAAACACGAACACAAAAGGTTCAGTTCAATTCGTATAACATATGTGCTCGAGTTGATTCTTTCGCTCTTGGTGTGGTTAAATTGGCATCTTAATTTAGACATGTCAATTCTTGAATTAAGTGTATGTTTGACAATGCTGTTAAACTTAAACTAGAATAGTGGTATGAGTTTCATTATTTAGTGACTGATTAGAGAGTAGGTATTGGTAAGGACAGTAGGCATTACACAAAGTATTATAATAATACTAAGGGTATTGTTATTGCCAAAACAACTATTAGCATCCAAAACAAATTATTTTTATTCTTTCAAAATAGTCCTTTCCAAGTCAAACTAACCTTTTCTTTTCCCAATCCCTTTCTCTTTTTTTTTTTTTCTCTTGAAAAAAAATAGAAATTTTTTCTTCTCATTTTCTTATGGCAACAGAATAACGAAACAGATCATCCTCACAGTAAAGAACCTAAAAAGAAACACCACTCCACAAACCAGTTTTCATTCCATAATCGACATTTTCTTAGTCTTCGTGAAAATTACGAGACTAAGCCTTTTTGCGGTTTTTTCCGGATCGATCCACCAACCAAAAATAGGGAGGGAAAAAAACCTTAAGGAACAACGGAATAAGAACTACTAGAACTACTAGAAAATTTAGTTAAAACCATGGTCTGATAAGAAGAAACTCAATGCATCTTCAATCTTTAAACACACAAGAAAGACTATAATATCTTAATTAATTGATGTAAACACTATAGAACTAGTACATGCAGATGATACATTTTCTAAAATGTCTATGAACAATTAAGCACTATTGCAATACGATTGGCTATTCGAAGTATCAACCCAACAAGACTTCAAAATGAGATTAAATCGATAATCCAACAAACTGCAATCACAATCACTTTATCTCTATTATATAGATATCAAATCTTATATCAAAATTAATTTTAAACTAATTAGAACAAAAAAAGGGCACTCTATTACATTCTTGGATTTAGAATCTGGAGAAAAATTATGTTTTGAGGATTTTGAACTAATTTACAAAAACTTTTTCTTTGTGCAAACTTCCACATGCTCGATAGCATCCGTGCTAAAGATATATCTATTGAACTGTAATTCTCGTGTGGCATAATCTTAATTTTAGAAGGAGATGAATGATAGGTTTTGGAGGGAGAGGGTGGAGAAGGAATAAAAAATCAGGTAAATAAATTGAATTAAGCTAGAGGTTGGAGTTGGGATAGGGAGAAAGTTATTTTTGAATAGGGAAGGGTTATTTTTGGAAAAAAAAATGCCATTATTTGTTTTGGATGCTAATATTTGTTTTGGAAATAACAACACCCTAATACTAATGAAACTCATACCAGCGATGCAAGAACCAGCACTTTGACCCATTCGGTGACTTTCGCGGTCGCCCTTACTGAACTTTCTACCATCTTTTGCTGTAGAAAGACTGACATGAGTACTTAAAGCAAATGAATGATTTGAAATTCGTAACACAAAAACTCTTTGAATCAATGATTGAAATGTAAGACTATGAAAAGGTGAATATATATGTATATATATATATATATATATATATATATATATATATGATTTTGCCCTCTTTTGGAATTTGGACTGAAATTGTGATAATTAGAGAATGAATGTGTTAGTTAGTGATCATAGAGCGCTATTTACATAAAAAAAATCGTGAAACTTTAGTGATGATCTATCATGTCAAGTTCATGAACTTTGGTATATGAATTATGAATTGAGATGGTAGGAAATTGAAGAACATTATGAATTGAGATGGTAGGAAATTGAAGAACATTGTTATGATGTTGTGTTTCCTTGAAGTAGACCCGAGTTCAATTTCCACCTGGGGGTTTGTAAGTGAGGGTTTTATTCATATTTACATTTTTTTCTTTTATAAAAAAAAATGGAGATGGTATTGTATCTTGGAAAGTTAGGATACGGTAAAAACTCTATAAATTAATAAGTATTTTTAAATAATAATTTTTTTCGTTCCTAACTTGGAACCAATACAAACAAAATCGATAAATTAATAAAATAATGAACTTTTAGAGAATTTCTATATAAATATAGGTCACCTAAAAATCATAAAATTAAAAAAAATTAAAAAATAGAAATTAAAAAAGAATTTCTATATTGAGTTTTGCTTTTTCTTGAAATTTCATGTATAATTTTCTCTCCAACCCATGAATGAAATGAAAGAATCATAATTACATAAGGGAAGTGGTCGCGCGATTGTCGTCAAATCGGTCGAAAAAAAAAACCAACTCAAAACTAATAGAAGTAAGTCGGATTGAATACACAGGGACGGATATTTACGGTCTAAGAACCGCCTAGAACACTGAAAATCAAACCAAAATCAAACGAGAGAGACGGGTTGAGATGGTCACTCACAAAAATATTGTCAGCACTCACGTGCATGATGATCTTCCTTAGCAGTCTATAATGCAGAACAAGTAAATAGCAAGTAATAAAGTAACTATGAGCAGAAAAAAATTAGGAAAGGCTACAGTTTCAGCAAGAAAACAAGAAAATAAACAGAGTAAAAGAGCCTGGGATCCTCCTCTCTTCCTATGTTATTTCTACATTGATTATACATCCATGTGGTACGAAGTGTGTTAGAAAGAGGGATTCAACCCAATAAAAGTCTTAGCTACTCATGAGTATTTTAAATACAAAATTCATGTAGAACTGAGAACAAAACATGATAATTCTGTCAGTCAATCACTTAGCTTTGATTCATTAGTGATGTGCCCAGATAGAGCCTTGGTTTCGGCCGCAGAGGAGTTGGTTGGAAAGATTATCAAAGACTTAGTACTCTTATCTTAATTTTTTGTGTCTAACTTTACTAAGGAGGTTTTAGAAGTTAAATGCCTTCAAGATAAGTAAACTCTGACAGAGATTCACTTTTTAGATTCGCCTAAAGAAAAGTATATGCAGCTCTTTTCCCTCCTGAAAATGAGAAAAAAGAATGAAAAAAAAAAACAATATTCAAGTGGAGCTAGGTGACATAAGTAGCTGTTTCTCTGAAGCTAAATTTATTCGAAATTTCCTTAATCATCTCTTACACCTTTCTATCATCAAAATAGTGTAGAAAGACAACTCTTTTTTCGTCATTTTCTGTCTTTTTGTTTAGCTAACTATGCTATCCTAGTCCTCTAGTATGATCCATCATCATCTAAACTTTTAGCTAACTTATAGTTATGGCCCTCTTAAATAAATATTTTGTAGTCAGCAAAGGAGATGATTTTTCAAGTTCAGCTGCTTTGTAATAAGCACGTGTTTAGGATATTATGGACATTCATATCTCATATGCTTATGCATGGGCAGGGAAACCAAGAAGCTGAATGGATCAGTCTTCGGCTGTCATTGTCTGCGGTGTTAAGCTTTTCATTCCATTGTTACTATTTCGTCGTGGTAGAACTCATCACAAGTCTTAATACATTTGTGGTGTTGAACATTAACAACCAGGCAAACTCTGATGAGGGTCCTGATGGAGGAAGCAAGAGTTCTAAAAATGTACTCGTGTCTTGGAATGGCTGATTTTCGTTGTTCATCTTGTATCGTGACAGAAGTTGGTGTGAGTCTTTGCTGTATTCACTAATGTTAGTTTACCTTGTGTGTGATTTTCAAATCTAAAGAACATCCCAGATAAGTGTTGATTCTTTTCTCTACTATGAGTGTACCTTCTGTGGTTCATTAATCATTAGAAATTTTTGAATTTACAGCCTTTTCAGTCTGGTTCTGCAGTTATGGTGAGTTTATACTAAGGATGGTGTTACACTTCTATGCGAAGGAGAGACAAGATGGAGGTTGTTATCTTGGGTGAAACACTGAGTTTTTTATTGTTTTAGGACAATTGTAGTATTCCATTGGATCATTTGTATTTAACACTGAAGCTAGTCCAGTTCCTAATTGTTAGCAATAATGTGTAGCGATGATGCATTGGTTGCAGAACCTCATAGAGAATCTGACTGCAACAATCATACTTTTTGTGCTCAAAATTGATTTAGCAATTAAAAAAAAATAAAAATAACATTACATTGGAGACCATCTCCATAATTTAAATCTTACAGAAGTTTCCTGCAAAAAGCTGCAGTAGCTGATCCATTGCTTCACCTGGTCAGCTCTTCAAATCCTCGATCTTTTATGCATCTTTCCGATCCTTGCATTATGCAAGTTCTCATACATAGTGATGCCTTTGCAAGGAAAAAAAGTAGGTCATTCCCTGCAAAATAGGATGATGGTAACCTTTCCCCATTCTGAAGTTGCTACCATGTTAGTTCGTTTAGGCCACCAGTTACTTGATCCTTCTGTCTAACGTCTTGTAAGGTCATATGTTGATACACTGTATCATGATCTTGTCAATTAAGGTGTTATTATATGTAAGACTGCAACTGTCATTCGCCTTTGTCTGAAAGAAAAAAGAGATGATCCCCATCTCGGATGACATTGAAGTCGTCTATTTCTGCACCATCTGCACTCACAATGCGTGTGAAATTCTGACCTCCGAATTTTTGATCTGCAAATTTCATCGTGTGGAGTGTCAGGTGATGGCCAGTTGGAAACATAATGCTCCCATATTAGTAGTCATTGCAGCTAGAAGAATATTATCATGGGACTTCGAATACAATTATAACATGGTTTTGTGTAGGCTGAGTAACATGTTAACATTAACGTTCTGCTTTTCTACGTAATATTGTGAACTTACCTGCTATGCTGTAAAGTTCTTCTAGTGAATCAGGTAGGAGTATCAGTTTCCCAATCGACTCATATGCTGCCTGATGTTGTTGAACCTTCATGTGAATGGTAACTCTTTTTCTGGTAGATTGTGCATTCTCTTTGTCTGCAGGAAACATGATACTACTTGAGCTGATCTCTGCTGGAATCCTGTGGCAATGTTTTAAAGAGTGCATAGATCCATCTTTGTTTGGTTTAGATGGAACTTCAAAAGTTGCATTTGCTTTTTCCAAGTCGAAAAGCTCAATTTTGTGTTCATCAGGTTTCCGCGGCTCTTGTTCCTCCACCATGGCTTCTGAATCAGCAATATCTAAAGTCATCACATCCAATATCCCTCTATTTGCACAAGCATTGTTTCTATGACCAGGATGAGAATATGTTGTTTCATTTGGTGCTTCATGAAGCGAATCGCCAGATGCTAAAGTTTGATCAACCTGCTCTTCCACATGCCTTGACATCCCTGATCCTTTGAGTTTCTGTCAAAGAATTCATCTGTCAGGAGTAATTCGTGTAATTCATTACTACTGAATGAAAATTAAGTTTCCATTACAACACCTGGAAAAGATTGTTCATTATTATTTGCTCATCTTCACTATTCATCTGCAGAATATTCATCAGCGATGTCTTGTTCACCCGTAGCAGTTGAGAAATCTCCCTAGTTCGAGCAGCAAATGGCTGAGGCCTTCCGCATAGAACACCAATTTCGCCAAATGTTTCCCCGGCAAGAGCTTTTCCCATTATCTATTTTAATGAAGATAAGTTATATAGGTTAATGTTGTTTCTTGGAAGGTGTCAGAAATCGATATTCTAAAAGAAACTACATACCTGTTCATGACCATCAATGCTGGCTATCAAATCCTGCAAGTATGATTGCCAGAAAGATAAGGAACATAAGTCAAAATCCTATATTTATACTTTTTACCACAAGATGGACAAGAGAACACTTACCACTGCACCAGAAACCAATATGTACATCTCAGTTGGTGTCTCGTTTTGTAGAATTACATCTTCCTTTGGAGAGAAGTATTCAGCTTCCATTTCCGGAACCTTTGATATCACAGAATCCACTGTTATCTTTGATACATTTGTAGAAAAGCTGAAGACATTATAAAGGGGAGAAAGAGAAGGAGATGCATGGATAGAAAGGTACCAATTGGAAGAGGAAGTCATCGGAAACACCTTGAAAGAGAAAGACATTTTGAATTATTGGCAAAAACAAGTAGTTGGAAATGCTGGAACGAATGGCTTTTGGAAGACTATTCAAGGTTTCTTGCTGCTTCAAGCCTTCTGTTTTGAACCTGAGGCATATGTGGGACAATATCTGGTCCTGTATACATGGCGGTAACTGATTTCTTTTCGCAAACTCTGATGCAGCTCGAACTGTGTCTCTCTACAGCATGAAAGCAAAAGATAAATTAAACACAAGTAAATTTCAGGAGAATGCTGAGACAGGAAGGGAGAAAGAAAAGAGAGAGAGAGCGTACGAAAGTTCTAGTGCGGCTAGTCCAATGAACTACAAGGTTAGTCATGTTTCCTATGATGTAAGAAGTCAATCCCAAGTTGAACAGCATGTAAAAGATATCAAAGAGCATTTCCCTTGGGTTTTCGGCGTGCAAATCGCCATAACCAGTTGTGGTCAGTGTGACAATAGACCAATATATAGAAGTAACATATCTATCCCAAATGCTGTGATCTTTGAAATTTGGATAAAGTGCACCAATCCAGGTTCTTTTAGGATCAGGATATCTATCTGCAATCACATAGTAGAAGCATCCAGCACAGTGCACAGCAAATAATGTCACCTAAAAAAAAAAAACCAATTTGGAAGGAATTTTAGCACTTCTTATTCTCAAAAAAATTCAGTATCAAAAAATATGGTTCAAAATGTCTGTGTTGAGACCACTTACAGATATGAGCTTTGTGCAACGAGTCCAGAAATAATTAAACCGAATGTCCTTCTCTAGTCTGTCAGAAAGATGCAGATATTGCCACTAAGAAATTTTTGAATCTGCTTTAGCTTAGCCTGTTATATGATACAAATGAATTTTGAAATTGGTGGAAAAAGGGGGTCATTAGGATTCAAGAATGTGTTTACCTGGCAAAAAGAGAGCTGACTCGGCGCAAACGCCAAAGTCTGAGCATACTGAGAACTTTTAAGCCAAGTCCACCACTGTGATGCGTGAAAAGGAGGCTAATGGATTGAAACGGAACCGTGGAGCAGACATCAAAGATGAACCAGGTTGAAAGATACCTATGAAAATGCATATTATTGTAGCAGCATTTCGTCAATTTAGGTGACTGATCATACATAGTCTGTTACATTAAATGGAATAAATGGATGAATGGTTAGTTACCTCATGGCTATGTTTTTGAAATTGTCAACCAGCAGATAGGATTGGCTGTCGAGGTAAGCCACGAAGAAGGTTAAAATGATGTCGATGGCAAAGAATGCATTGACTATGTTATCGAAAATGGACAATGCATCTTGTTTGAAAGGCACGAAAGCGAACTCAAAAGGCGAAATCCAGGCCGAGTAGATCACCAGGATGATCAAGAACATTTCCCAAGCCCTGAAATATCATGATGTATACATACAAATCAAAAAGTCATTATCAAAATTAGAATACATGATTTCCTACTTTTTCACCATGCAGAGACAACAGAGGAATGAATGAATCAATCAATCTCACCTATAGCTTGGATTGAATGGCGAAATGATGCCTTTTCGAAGCTTAGTTGCACGGTTCATTCGAGCTCCAAGTGAAGGAAGAAGATCACTGGAGAACAAACCACTGTGTGTTTGTGCATTGAGTGAAAAATCATCAATGCAAAATCGCCTGAGGAAATCTTTGGTACAAGTAAAGGACATTTTTTTTTTTTTTTTCGCGAATGCGAATCGAACCCTTCAACAAAGTTAAGGAGATCAGCTGGTTTAAAGTTCCACAGTAAGATGAAATCTCAAAGGGAAGTCAATTTATACTAGTTGGACTCTCTCAGTTGACATGACTCATACACGGGGAAAATGGTTCCTTTGTCTTTTTTTTCTTTTATTATTATTTTTTTTTTGGGGGGGGTTTTAACTTTTGGTTTCCCTGGCTTTTGGTCTGCTCCTTGTGATCATATGCTTTTTGAACGTATTTATAAAGATTGTGCAAGTAGTTTGTGATTATGAACTGTTCAAAAAGGAAGGTAGGAAAGGAAAGAAAAGAGAAAAGAAAAGATGTGCATCAATTTTCTGGAATCTACTTGAACAAACAGGACTAGATTAACTAGTAGAATTACGACAAGTTTCCTAAAACGAGCATTGGACGGAACTTAATTGGAAGTGGCAGACATGAGTCTTTCTGAAATGCAGATTGCTGCAAAGAGATGATGGTATATATTGGTTTAAAAAAAATATACATATCTATTTCAGATTGAAAGGAAATTGAGGAAATGAAAGTTTGATTGTACTGGTCTTTCTTTTGTGGGGGTGACTGGAATCGTTTAGCAGTAAATGGGAATGGTGGGAGCTCCATCATCAATTAATGTGGAGGAGAGGTTGAACTTTGAATCACATCTCCATATTGTTTGCATATGTATGTCTCACGGGCATAATAATATCCTTGTTACGCTTTTGATCCTGCTGTGTAGACTTGTCTGTAACATAGAGGTCTGTCCTAATATTATCATTCAGTTTCGAGTTTAACTTTTATTTCATTTATACTAAAAATAAAAATGTAAACTGGACAATACATTTTAGGACGAAATAATTTATATTTATGGTATTCGTACTATCATATACTTTCACTTACCATTTTTTTGTTAATTATTAAAGTATGCATGTGGGCTGTCACTTGTATGATAAATGTAACATTAGAAGTGTTACGAAAAATCTGATCCGTTCATTTCTCCGGAACAATTTAAGCAAAATTTTTAGCTTTGTTCTCTATATCGAGAATGTAAAAATGGACCAGGCAAGGTTTAGTTGGGGATGAGCTGAATGCTTTGTTTTGTGGACGCCACTTGGACCAATATTTCTTGCAAAATCTTTGAAGCACAGGAAGACCAGTCCAAAATTTGTCTCAAATTAAAGATCAAAATTGAAATTTCCTCTGCTCATATCTCTGCTCTCAGAAATTGGTTCTAATTTGTAGTCCAGCCCTCTTTTGGTTATGCCATGCAATCACAACCATAACTTTTGAAAGAGTAATATTCCCCCTCCATATATTATCCCTCCCGGCACTTCTTCAATCGCCCTTCAATTCTCCTTCATATCATCTCCCTCTTTTTTGCTTTTTGATCTCCCTTCATATCTATCCACAATGAGTAATATTCTTTTCGTACCATCGTAATATTGTTTTTTGTCAACTATTTTCTCTTTTTTAGTTCAATAACATCATTATTATTACGGAACGTTCATAATAATAAAGAATTTTACATGCAGTAATAGAACGAAAAACGTAATAAATAGTAGAACGAACTCTAACATTCTCTTTTTGTCCTATATATGAATTTGGGTATATTACGCTTCATATTTTGTTCTATAAAGAAGAACAATAGCGATTTCATTTAACTTAAACTTTGGTTTAAGAAAATCAGAGATAAACCTACATTAAAATAATTATATCTTTAAGAGACTCGTAATGACGTCACGTCTATATAATATGAACATGTACATCCTTTATTATATTTCACTTTGGAGAAATTTCATTGATATTTCTATTTTTTGATTGGTGTCACCTCATGCCTTAAGTCATTTCTGACATTCAGTATATTTGTAACCAATGCATTTTTTTTTTCTTTTCCTGTTTGCATTCCACACTAAGGTGATGGCTTGCTTTATGTCTTGGGAAAGTCTCCATCACATCTAGTTATTCCTTTCATATGTCTTAGACCTCAAAGTCTTTATTTTAAAATTATTGTTGTGATTCATAAATCTTAGTAGCTTGTGTTAGTTTATAAATGTCATTTTTTAATTCTAGAAAAAGTTTTTTTTTTTTTTTTCTGTTCTCGACAACAAGAAAGGTGTCTTCTGTATATTTCTTTTCCTTACCCGATAAACCCTAACCTCACCAACTTAAAAAATTTGCAATCTTTTCTCACGGGATAGAATCTATTCTCACTGTTGTCGCTATTTATCATAAAATAAAACAAATCTATCAATAAGATCGATGTGACACTTTAAATGTTTTTTTTTTCTTTTTTTTTTTGGGGGTAACATCACGAACCCTATCGTACATTTTTTTCGTTTTTATTTATTTATACATTTAGGCACTTATTCATTAATCTTCACTCAGCAAACTGTTCAGTTAAAATGTTAGAGTTAATTATAAACACATTTGTCGAACTGTAACAAAAGGGTCATAGAAGTAAAACTCGAAAAATGACACATAAAATTCGATGCGAAACTGATGAGGATTGGACAGATGAAAATGGTCACAGATTCTATCACTTGAATGGTACCACTGCCACAGTGCTTTAAACCACATGTGCCCTCCTATAAATTCAATCTTCAGAGCCACTTGGTTGTGTGGTTCATCAACTAAATTGATTGGAAAACGGACTGTAACTTATAGAAAATTTTGAAAATGAAAAGTTTCAAAGCTATATATGCATTTAAAAGCTGTTTTGGTTGAAGGCAAAAGAATAGAAGAAATGAGAAATGGAACAAAATCATTCCTACTCATAAAGTTTTTGTGTAGATCTTTTTCCTTTTGGATTAATAAAGGAATCTTTCGCACAATTGAGCTATTTTTCATTCAAATATAACTCCAATGTTAGTTCACCACTTATCAATATTGATGAGTAATCAAATTTAACCATGCATATTTATTAAATAACCTTAAACTGGTAAAATGGGACGACTATGATCTAACTCAATGATTTCAGGATCAATGGAATGATCAATGTTAAAAAAAAAAAAAAAAAAAAAAAATTTAACAGTGATGGTGCCAGGGAGTTCTGTCGTTTTTTGGAAGCAAAATACAATCAAACCCAAATGAATGAATTCGACATGATTTTATTACTGAATCTGTTGTGTTTATGGAGGAATAAATTGTGCTTAATATCACACGTATTGTGTCAGAATTCAAAGTTCACGAACTCCAACATAATCGATCGGCATTAGTTTATGTCAACGTTGAAAACATTAATCCTATGAATACGAGGAAGTCACGTCCTATTTTACATCATATCAATCACACTTCAGTAATAAACATCATGATAGAAGTAGAAAATTCACAAAATAAGAGCATAATTAACGAAAAGAACTACTCTCTCTCAATCTTGAAATGATTGTCCAGTTTAAATTTTTATTTTTAATATAATTGTACTAAAATAAAGATTATAACTGAACAATCATTTTGGACGGAGAAGGTAGTATGGTAAGATTTTCTTGAAACGTAATTAATATGTAATTTGCTAAAAGTTTTTATATTCACGGTTGAATATAAGTGATAGAGTCACGATCACAATCTCTCGATCTCTTTTCTCCATCACTGGCGTTATTTCGTTGCATTTTTTATTTTTTATTTTTCTGAGAAAGTTATGCTTTACCGTAGTGAAATTAAATGATCACACTACGTACACAATCATACGTATAATTAGTAATTATTCATCAGGATGACTATCAAATTAAATTTCACGAGAATAGATTTTCTTTGAGATGGGGTCAAACCCATAGTAATTGAAGAGACCCCACACTAAATGGTTTGAAGATTTTCTGTATGGAGACGAAGATCTTTTTGATTCTTTTGTGCCGACTTACAGACGCACTATAATTTATGGGTAAAGTTAGGGTGCGGTTGATAATTTTGAGGGTATGATTCCATTATTTAATTAATTATTTAATTAATAATTGTTAGATTAGAATAAACTAATCACAATCATTGAATTTTCTTTAAATGTACTGATAACCAAATTAATTGTACACAGGCAACCGGGTAGTAATTTATAGTATACCATTTAATTAAAATTGGGAGTGTCTCTCCTCTCTCCGCCGTACGCTGAGATGCTTTTTCTTTCTTTCTTTTTTTTCTTAAAAAAAATCTGGACTCCGACATGGCAAAGTAGAAGCAGGCAGGACCTATCCTGGAGGGGAAAAGAAATCGATGAAAAATGGCTCTTTTCATTTTTCAAAGACTGTACCTTAATTTGCTACTTGTTGTATTGATGTTTACAAAGCCAATATTTTCCCTTCTCATTATGGATTGGAATAACGGGGTGAAAGAAGGTGAAATGATTTGGAATAAAATGCAAATACTGCAGCAATTTAAGTTTCAAAAGTAACATTTTTCTCAAAAAACTAAGATACATAAAAAAAAGCCATACTTATACTTGTCTCTTTGTCTCGAATTATTACAAAAATTACAAATAATTGTCCCTTTGTCTAAAAAGAATTAGTTTTTTATTTCGAATTATTTTTTTTACAAATCTCGAAATTCAATATGGACTGTTTTTCTAATACGAAGGAAATAGTATATCATCAAGTGATTGTATTTTTTTCTATGTTGCAATTGCTTGCAAGTGAAAGTACTGCCGTCTATTATTTTCCAATGTGCATTCACATAAATATGCAATGCTTAAAATTATATTATTATACTAAAAATTCTATTGATCACGTAATACGTAAATAATTATAAATTTATGTGCAAAGTTGTAAGAGATTTTACAAAAAAAGAAAAAGAAAAAAAACCCTTATAATATAAAAGATGGTGCAATGTTTATAAGTTAGGGTACAATCATGTATCAATACATATGTAATTTTTTAATGGGCAAATGTGCAATGACACTAAGATTTTTGTGCAATGTAGAAATAGAATAAGGAAAATTAATCATGAACTATGATAAGTTTTGAATTGTTGCATAAGATGGCGTAAATTTCCCTATTTAGAGGCTCAATTTAGGTGAGCAATGTATTTTATTTTTTATTTTTCTAATATTTTCATTATCATTAATACATAAATGGTACCGATAATTGGCACAAATTTCTGTAATAAATCTCAGCTTATTCAAAATGAAATTTGTTCATTGTAAAATTTAAGTGTGCAATCATTTCTTGTCAAGTGTGCAATGTTTTGTAACGAAGGACATACTATTATTTATCTAGATTGTAGAATTTCTTTTGTTGAGAGTGCAATACATTGTAACAAAGGTTCAATTCCTAGTTATGCAGCGTATTGAGAAATATATATTTCTTATATATTTATTACTATAAATGTGTCATGTTTGAAAATATATTCTTATGCTAAAAATTTTCAAAAAAATTTCAAAAAATTTGCAACTAAAATTCTATTATTCAAAATAATACATTAATACTCGCTTAGTAAGGTTTAGAAGAAAATTCTAAATAAAAAAATAAAATTACTAAATAATACTTTTATAAGAAACGGTGCAACGTTTTTTAATCCAATATGTAATTATGTATAAATATAAGTGCAATTTCTAATGAGCAAATGCACATTGACACACCGATTTTTTTGTAATATAAAATTAAAATAAGAAAGTTTAATTAAGAATTATAGGAAGTTTAGTATAATGCAATTATTTAAAACTGAACGTG